TCTGTCCCTTCTGAACCTCACTTTGTACAGTAGCGGCGGATGGTTACCTCGCTTCTAGTTCTGGCGCACTCAGTTTAGTGTATAAATAAATAAATCAAAAAATCAATGATTCAATAAATAAAAAAGCTTGCACCGAATGAAGCACGCCCTCGCTGTAAGTGACTGTGTTTTGTCGGAGGAACCAGGGGAACGTCAATTTTCGCACGATGGCCTATTCGATTCTGTTATAGTGTGGCGTTCACAGCGTTGTTGAAAAATGTGGAATTTCAGCACTTTTACTGCGATTCAGAAAGCAATTTCACATAACCACCTGTTCTGGAAAAAAACAATAAATGAACCAATGACTGACTATGTCGATATGTCAATGGATTAGCAAATTTCAGCAAAAAAACGATCACTTCCACGACTCAGCAATCATGTCAAAATGAAGCTTTGTGTTTTCTGGTGCATCCCGATCCAATTTTTCTCGGTGCTTTACTTCTGCCTAAAATTTCGTTTTAATTGCTCAAACTGTATAGAAATGTCATGATAATTCCTGATAATTCCTGATTACTCATCTGTGCACAATCAAAAAAAAACGATAATATAGGAAGCAGTTCACGAAGAGAGACATTCTATTCAATTGAAGGAAGGCAATAATTGAAATAGAACAAACCTCTCGTGAGACTTTGCGATAGCTGTACCATAACACGGCAGGCAGTATGAGAGAGAATTGGGGCAGATGAATGCTAACTGAAAGAAAAGAAAGCTGAACAGGCTACTTTGGTCTGCAAACAGCAGTATTGAAATTCCTCCCGCTCAAAGCTGCTCTTTCTAACAATTAAGTTCAAATCCCACCGATCACAGACTGTGCCTCCCGGGACCCTTCCAAAATTTTTCTATCTTTCCCACAAAAGCTACTTACTCAAAAAGGTACTTTCCACCAACTTGTTCCTCCAAGAACGCATGAATTTATATGCATGTGGTGCACATACGATGCACGGGACTTAAGAAGGGCATGATTCGCGTCTCAGGACGAAGTAGAAAAGTCGGAGAATAAAATCACCAGTGGGTCGTACTTCTGCCTACTAATATGTGAGCTACCGCAGTGTAGAATTGGGGCAGATGAATGCTAACTGAAAGAAAAGAAAGCTGAACAGGCTACTTTGGTCTGCAAACAGCAGTATTGAAATTCCTCCCGCTCAAAGCTGCTCTTTCTAACAATTAAGTTCAAATCCCACCGATCACAGACTGTGCCTCCCGGGACCCTTCCAAAATTTTTCTATCTTTCCCACAAAAGCTACTTACTCAAAAAGGTACTTTCCACCAACTTGTTCCTCCAAGAACGCATGAATTTATATGCATGTGGTGCACATACGATGCACGGGACTTAAGAAGGGCATGATTCGCGTCTCAGGACGAAGTAGAAAAGTCGGAGAATAAAATCACCAGTGTGTCGTACTTCTGCCTACTAATATGTGAGCTACCGCAGTGTAAACAGTATGCAATTTTTTCCATAACGTATTTCTAAAAGAAACAGAGTTGCCAAGAAGTCCGAAGATGACAAACCGGAATGGAATGCGAGGTTATATTGATTTTTGTAAATTCAAGCTTGCCAAGAAAATCTTAGCAGCTTCATCACCAGATATTTCATTCGTGCATTAATTCTGGTCCCCTCCAACTTGGACTCCTCCAAGTTTCAGAGGGAAGGTGATGCTAGGTATGTTGGAACAACCAACAATTTTTGTTTTCTGGAGCTCTCCTTCTCATTTTACTGCCTAACGAGATTTTTCTCATTCACTAACAGTCAGGTTTCCAACGATTATCGCACCATCCACCATTTACTCTTGAGGCTCCGAATCCATNTATTCATGCTCTGCTGCTCGATCCGAACCTAATCTCCGATCCCTCACAAACGAAGTTTACCTCCCACGAAAAGCATATTGAGTCTCCACTACTTGTGGGTGATTTGGGCAGAGAGGACAACAGTTGATCATTTCAGTCTTCTGTGTGAAAAAAATGTCTGAAAGACCTACTCATTGAGTATTGCTTCTTGATCCACTTATTCATCCTTCCCTTTTTCTTTTAATCCATCTATCTATCTATCTATCTATCTATCTATCTATCTATCTATCTATCTATTTATCTATCTACTTATTTACTTAATTATTTGTTTATTTATTTATCTATAGTGATTGAACAACTGCATAAACCTGCTTGTATATTTCTCCCAAAACGTGAAAACCGGTAATAAGTAAAAGATGGAACAGTCAAAAAGAATTGAACTCGAAAACCATACCTTCAATAAGAGCGAAAAACAGGGGACGAGAGAATCTCGGTTTGTGCCAATGTACGAAACCTCGAAGAAAGTTGTAACAAAAACTGTTCACACAGCTGAGCAGGAAAAATAACATCAATGTTTTCATCGTTCTGAAAATCGTCGAGTTTACATACAATTCATTAGCCGTTCATTATAACCATAATAATTGAGCTTCTCATCAAAATATACATAAAAATTTATTTGGTTCTCAGTTTTTTCTAAACAAAGAAATCAGAGAACAATAGAAATTCCTAAAGGCTTTCCTCACCTGACGTTCTCTCGAACTTGATAAAGCTTCGAAATTACACCACCATTGAAGTGAACATTGCGGCTATGCAGCAAATTTCGCTTCTTCGCCTACAATATGGGATTTTGAAGTCATGGTTGTTATATAGATACAGCGCTCTACATTCGAATTTTATCTTTCGTGGAATGCCTTTGACGTCTTCAACACCTTTATTTGACGCATGGGGAGGGAAAGACNTAATCATTGAATTTGGTTTTCACTTGCTATCACTTCACTCTTCGAAAATGGAGAATTTCTCAACTCTCGAAAGTGGTGCTTTTCAACAACTTCATGTGACAGGTTCTATATATGCTCAGCGGGAAAAAGCAGTTCTCCAGCGACCCAATTTTCTGGGTGAAACTGCCCTAGCAAATTTTTACTGTTTATTCGGTGGAAGTAATGCAGTTTACTCTTGATCGACACTATCTTACTTCGCAATGCGCTCTAAGCTGTGTTAACTCAACAACTCTATGGGGATTTTGAGGATTCCGAGAGAGCTCTGCGAACTATCACAATAAAAAAACCCTGAGAGTATCGAAGACTGACCTTATTGATTCGCATCAATACTTCAAATGTGACCACAGCAGTGACTTGTAAAATCAGCAAAGAGAAAATAGATCCTAAAACCAAGGAAGGCGGTGACAGACTGGTGATCAGGCAATACGTCATCAGCTTCTGATAGTCCAACTTCATGTAAACGATGCACATGAATGCTACCGCGGTCACAATCTGAAGAGCACAAATATGAAGCTAAATCATTAGAGAAAAATTTGGGCTAAGAGGCGAAAGCCGAAGTTAGATAGTAGAGTAAAAGTCCCGTTTCTCATGGAACTGGAAGTTTTTGTCTTACTTCCATCCTTCGTGTCATTCTCAGCTCTAAGATGCCGAGCATTCATAAATTTCAATATCATGTACATATGAAAACATACATACATATTAGGTGTATGTATGCCAACGTATCTCCCTTGCTGAGAATTTTTTCCCCTCTCAACGATCATTCGATGTAGTTGCATCGGCAGGGTATATCGAAAATCTGATTGTCGTGCCGTTCGGACGACTTAAAGGACGGCCTGGCCGTGGCGCGCCTGTAGTCCTGCCAGGAAGGCACCGTAAGCTGCAGAGAGCTAAAGTTTGCCACGTGGTAGCCGCTTTAGGCGATTGCATCATTCATTCGCCATCGTGTCAACGTCGTAGCCGCCTGCTTTCGACAACTCCTGTGTCTTTCAACTTCACTAACATCGACGCAGCCCCCGACGGACTCATAGCACCACATCTGTGCCATCTCTAAGTGGTGCCAAGCTGCATGGTATGAAGCTGGATGGAAACAACTGGAAGGATGGTCCACAGCAATCAAGGACCTGGAAGCAGCATTGCCGAAAAGGAGGTGGGAGGGCTGGATGGGATGAGATCGGATCGTACCCAGACCGTAGGTTGTAGTGACGTTATATTCACGTATATATTTCCTTGCCTTTTTCTCATAGCATTTTTTCGTAGCATTTTCTCACAGTATTTTTCCATGGTACTTTTTCCATTTAACCGTATTTAATCACCTATTTCATATCGAATGTAGTTTATCATAAAATGTGTATTTTACACTGTGCTGGTAATACGTAGGATGTCGGTAACACCATTTATACCGCTGTTATCTTTGGCTAGCAGAGGATAACCACGTAGGCCCGGGTTGATCTGTGTGCCCAGTGTCCGAGTCAGCTCGGTGCTGGGTTAGCAACTCCCGTAGCGTACTGCGGAGGCAGTACCATGCCGTAGGAGCTCGCAAGGGAGACTGGGGCAGCCTCAGGCCTACCAAGTCCGTGTGGCAGTTGAATACGAGCATGGCGAACAGGCAGAAGACCCCGGTCACCTAGCTCACGCCGCCGTGGACGCCCTGCCGAGCAACCACCGATGCGGAGGGTCTCGGAGGACGCGACGCGACATTGATTATGCAAGCCGGAAAGATCAAGCACTACATTATCGAGTTAACCAATAGTGTAGTACTTGATCTGACGCCATTGTCCGTCGCGAAGATGTGGATTCATCCCTGTCTAATCATCTTCGTTTGCTGTACACCAACACCAACTTACGTGGATGAGGAGCTGGTAGCACTCTACATGAACCTGGAAAGGTATTTCTGGGAGCACCATGCTTTTTTCATGGTCATCGTCGGTGATGTCAAGGCCAAAGTCGGCCTTAGGAGTATAGCTGAAGAATTTCATATTGTGGTAACGGAGCAATGGAATGAGCAGATGAAGGACTTTCCGCGTTTAGCACATCGACTCACACGATCCATCGTGATTTTCAGTTACCGCACCCTCATAATTTGTGGACTTGGGAGTTCATTGGTGGACACTACCGTGATGAAACGGATCACATCGAGTTCTTCTACACAAAATCTGACCACCGTCTCCTTCCCACTATTTTGTTTCTCAATGCGTGGGGAGATGCGAAGTGCGGTGAATAAAGAGCCAAGACCGTTCACCCGCTAGAACTATTTGGCTTTCCTTGCGAGTTTATGGGAAGATTCCGTTGTCGACAACATTGATACAGAATACAGCCGCGTGCCATTAAAGCAAAAAATCTACAGGTTGCCAAGAAACATATCTCTTCGAGTACTTTCAGACCGATCCACTAGCGCAGAATCGTGTGCACACCAATCGCGACGAAGCAACCAATTAACGTTCGAACTTGCTCTATGCAGAGAAGTCGCAAAGGAAGATTCGAGAGACAGGCAACAGCTCCTATCGAAGCTGCTGAGATTAGGAAAAGCATTCGTAAGCCCGCCGAAGGCTAGGCAATCACGACGTCGACCTCACTTCCCCTCGCCGTTCTGGTGGAAACGTTACGGCATTCCAAACGCTAATGAAGAATGGTCATTCTCGAGTTCTGCGTGGATCTTCCCCATTTACGTGTAGATGTCAAGCTTCAAAGTTGTTGAGCTCTATTTGTAAAGAGCTCTTTTATCACCATGTCCTCTGTAGTGTAAAAGTGTGGTCAACTGACTTGTATCAAAACCAGAACCGGTCCTACGGTACGATTCTTGCCATAAGTGCTTAGCCTTCGTGTAGCAATGCATCTGCAATCGCGTTATTAGATTGTTTGCCATTGCACTGATAACCATTTTGGGAATTAACAAACTTAACTGTACTACAGTAATGACAGTATTGTGGCTCACCTTTCGATCGACAACATGAAAGTACCGGAGAATGCCAAATACATTGTAAGATTGATGGGTGCTCGTATTATTATACATCGTGAAATATCGAAGACATTACAATCCCCAGGTGATGACATCAAAAAAATAGATATGTCCCAAACATGGTTGATTATCCTGGAAATGTTGAATGAGCTCGAATCAGCATGGAATGATTACAACTCTGTCTCATAGCCATAGTCCCCAGATGTTCTCCTTCGTAGGACCGAAAATATTTCAAATGAAGTTCTCATCGTTAGTAGCTTAGGAATGCTCCATCGCCGGAACTTTTCTTCGGCATTACAACATTGGCGTCATATAAACAAAGAACCAATGCTCAAGCTTTGATGTTTTCAAAAAAATGAAGATACATGAGGCTTTCAAAAAAATGACGATAGATGAGGCTTTGGTCAAAGTGAATATCAAAAGGCTTTGCGAGTAGGAAGGAGCTAAATGTTTTTAGTGCCCAACTTGGACTCCTCTGTTCTCCTCAACATCAACTCCAGTGGTAGACTTTCTCTAGTAAGTTGAGGATGTCGTTATTGAGCTTTTTTGAAATGCGTTGTTATTGCCAGATTTTCTAGCCTAATTTTTGCCTTTCGTGCCGTGCGAATTTGGTTCTTAAACGAGGTGCAGAGCTTTGTTGTAGTCTAACCCCTATGCCGAAGTCGTGGAGAATCTAAATAGTTTTTGTGCTGCCCCTAATAAGAGCACAGTTCAGTTCGCGATGAAAATGCTTCGTGGGATTTATCCACATGATGGCCCTGTGACTCCCATGACGAGCATAAGCGGGTCGAAAAACGGTCCAATGCTACTGCTACGGAAATTCTTGAACGGGGTCACTGCTATGGAAATTCTTGAACCTCCATCCTGCAGTGGTTCTTTGGTTAAACACATTATTTCTTTTAAAAAAAACCACAACATTCAAAAGAAAACGTACAAGGATTGGATTAAGCAAAAAACGTACTCCAAGTCAATATAAAGTCAAGGTACTATAATAAGATTCATTCAAAAGAAAATCATTGAAATTCAAATTATGAATAACAGAAATACAAAAACCCTTCTTGGAGGCTAATGTATGAAAATGTATTCTGTATAGCGAACTAGACTATCTGAATTTGAAATACCGTTTCTATATTGGCCGGTGCTGCATAAGTAATGTAGTTTCTTTTTCAAGGAAAAATTTCTTTCAAAGATTCTATGGAGCACACCATTTGAAAAGTAGTTATCTTTGCTGCGAAATTATTTGATTTTCCTCAGAAAAAGTTAAGATCAGATTGAATTTTACACCACGATACGTGAGGCCGTGTCGGAGAAATAGGTCAAAAACCTTTGTATTTCAACGTTTAGCCAACTATTCCGTAATAGCCTCCTTTCTTACGTTACACAAATATTGTGAGCTATTGTAACGGTGCTGGTTGACGGACGTGTTCTACTTCGACGCATCTGGCGCATTGCCATAACAGACGGTGATAATTGTTGAAATTCTGATCAAAATAGCTTTGACCTAATGTCCTCGTTAGCTGCCGTTGTCTCGCAGCAGCCACGAAGTCGGAGAATTTCGAGGAAAACCTAAAAGCCATCAAGAAGGCGATGACACCGTAGGGTAAAGGATAGAGTGCATGGTCCCTAGAAGCTGAGGTACGGGTTCAAATTGCGCTTTGGGTCAAAGATTTGGACACAACTCAAAATCCTTCGGGTCGAACAAGAGATGCATATAACTGGATAGAGTGGCAAAAGTCCTTTCGGACTCTAAAAAAATACAAAAGTGCTGTTGGGAAAAGTGCTCCCAGACTAACAGCTAATTAGGAGATTTCGAAATACAGAAGCTAGAAACAAAGGGTTAGCTTGTAGATGTTGTCATGATTTCAGTTCTGACGAAATTGTAGATTATGACAGCAAACAACAGGGTCTTTAAGAGCGTTCAACCCTGAAGTGTTTGGAACAGATCGTACTGAATGGATGGTTTATTAGTGGTTGATTTTTCGCGATAGAAAAAAGCGATAGAGTTTCTTGTTGGTGTGACCAAATTTCGTCGACGCGATCTCCCAATTAGGAAGTTTGTGTGAACCACCCTACTTAGGTAACAATATAATAAATTTTCGGGAACACCAGCACACTCACGTCCCTCCCGCGTTCATTACCATTAAGATTAGTGCATGATTCTTCTAGCCACAAAAGTAGGGGAAGATAATATTTATTTATTAAGCGTCAGGTGGTTCCACCTTATCAAACAGGTTGTCAAAGTGGCTTTGTTCTCGATAAGATTCCCAATAAGTAATCATCATTTCATTGTGCCACTCAGATACCCTTAGTTTAGAGGCCGAGCTGATCATATTGCACATATACAAAGGGCTAGGCCAACTAGTAATCATTCAGTAGTCATTGAACTCTCTAGCAGTCAAGCGTTCCTATGTCGAATTAGAATGCATCTTCGAGCCGCTTGGTTCTCGCAGGCACTCGTGAGCTGAAGATATTCTTTACTTTGGAACAAATTACATTCCCATTCATGGGATACGACAGAGTTCCCAATTTATTACCCATGCCGTATGGTATGCTTGTGGCCTCGACAGGATTTCCTGACACTGACATGACTCGATGGATTTCATCCCCAGACCATATGTACTCCAGTTCGCTATATGGCACTTCCCCTACCAACCCAATCCTTTAACATCTTCCTATTACTGCATCGCGGAGAGCCTTTTAAGGAACTATGCGGAAATCTTCACCGAAACAGCGCTACAATTCACAAGCTAAGGCTCCTGTCAACATTTAAGCAAAATAAACACGGATTTTCGTGAATTTGAGAATTTCAGGTTGCCAGAGCGTCAAACTTTGTACAACTTGAGAACATACGTTGCTTAATCGCCATACTATTTCTGCAGATTTTTGAGTAGAAGCGTACCTGAAGATGTCGTGAGCGACAAGGCATGATAAGTGGAATATAAGGATCCATTTGATGTTGTAGTGAACTAGTTTGTGATTATAAGTGGCTTTGATCACCCACAGTACCAAAGGAATGGCAGTCACTCCACAGAGCACGTTAAACATCAGAGAATAACGAAGAACTAGTGATTCAGCCACTTCCTGCGACCCCTCACACAACTCGCTTGTGTCCATTTGTATCTAAAGACTTAACGGTTAATGAAGCGATTTCTAGAAACAGTACAAAAACTGACAATCGGAACGGCGAAAAGATTGAACTGAATAGAAGCGTACGAGAAAAGTTTCGAGCTCTCTGCTTACAACCACTGCATCTGCATATATCATAAAGAAAACTAACTCGAAATATAACGCGTACGCGGGACTATCGAAAACTATAAACACGCACTTTGATGGAGAGGAATGATGTGAAAAAAGAAAATAAGAATTGTTTGAATGAAATTTCCGATTGTTTCCAGCGCAGTGGCAAAGATAATAGGTGCAGTGGAACTGAACACAACGTGTAGCTGAAGCACATTCTGGGCACCTTCAGAAAGCGAGCCATTGAGGAGCTGAAAGAGTTGTTGAAGGCTGAAGTGCATCTTCAACTCCATTTTTGGATGTCTCCTTTTTTCTTCGGAATCGAATGACGTTTTTGAATGCGTATGTGCCCCATACAATGACTTGGGGATGGTAGCCAATGATCAAATCAGCACTTTCATCCTCTCAACCACCACCCTTGGTACCAATCAAGCATCCCTAGAGATATGGAACCCGGATTTGGTTGGTCTGACCCGGAAAGCATGAAAGGCTCTCTTACCCTGGGTAGGTACAACTTCAGAATTCGATCACTGGACCATGCAGATTTGATAGTGCACCACTTGCCGATGCACCAGCTCCACTTTGTTGATTCCAAGGAACTAATGCCCGCCGTGACCGAATATTTTGAAAAACGGAAATTATCTAGTGAAGGTTTAAGAGAGAAGAAGCAAGAAATCTTTGAAAAACTTCAAAAGTGCAGCTAATACGTAGCCACTCAAATTGTCGAATGAAGTGGGAACAATGAAACAATTGTAGTGTTCTACACACTTATAATTGCCCTTTTGCTTGCCTACAATGTATACGCCCCCTCCCCTCCCCATTCGTGAAAGACAGATATACTTTAGTCGACTGGCATTGTTTCATTTACTCTCTCAAGCTTTTGTCCAACTTTTTTTCCAAAGATTTTTTTCTTCTCTTCACCAGGTTGTTCGGAAATGAGGCAGAAAGAGGACAACGCAAAGGTAATTTCTAAAGAAATCGGTTAAGATCATACGTAATGATGTAAAAAAATGTAGACATTAAAACTATCGACGGTGTAAAATCTATGGGGAACGTATTCGAAAAAAGTTGGATTACTGAAAATGACCTGGAACATCCAAATAGAGCCTTTCTGATATCTCGCATAAGGACGGAGAAGCTGCATCTGTACATCAGTAAAGCGGACCCTGCTTCTGAGTGAAACAAACGCTGAAGGAGAAGAAAAAGGAGAAGAAGATTCACAAAACTTGGACTGGTAAAGTGAATAATACATAGTAATCGCCATGATGTGCAGAAATAAGTACAAGCAACAATTCATTTGAAAAGTAATCGAACTTAAAATAGGGCAGAACGCTTCTGTCAAAGTTTTCGGAAAAACAAGGGAGAGGGCGTAGCGGTCGATGTGAATAAATTGAAGACGTAACGTAAATGTCGGTATTCTTAAAAGGAATTTCAGTATCAATGATACTCGATACTTTCAAAAGTAATTCCACATCTCAATAATTATTTCTGTGCACGTTTGACACGCACTTTAGCTACTGTAAAACTGATTAAGAGCCGTGGAATTACTGCAGCCATGATTGAATGATTATGCATAAGTGGTGTTGCACCTTTCATACCCCTGTACAGAAGGGCCAATACAGACATGCTCAAGCGAAAAGCAGCTAATGTTTGATTCTGTACTATGTTGAGAGCCGTGTTTTCCCTACAAGGCTATTACTGTATGTAGGTCTACGGTAAAATCCCCAACATGCCCAACTAATATCCGTTAGGAAGCGAACTCCCATCAATCTCTCAAAAAAAATGCTAGTGCAGTAGAAAGTAAACTAATAGCCACCGAAAAAAAAGCATGAGATTGGCAATCGGAGATCCAATGTAAATCGAGGCATTCCAAGAATATTCCAAGAATATTCTCGATAGAAACTGAATGAATGTTAGTAGAGTAGCTAGCTTCATGATTTACCCGCAGATTCACAATCTTGACCGATAATCGCAAACAAACAAACATCTCTCGAAAGCACTGGCAAGGAAACATGGGAAGATGGCTATTGAGCATTATTTGTTCGTATATCTAGGATATTTATTGAAATTTCACCAAAAAGCCAGATTTGCTAACAATTGAGATAAGAAAGTGCCCTGCAACTGTGAGGTGTCCAGTATCCCGACTGAATCGTCTCGGATAGACAGCCTTCATGGAATGTATTTGGTTATGATTGGCAGCCAAAAGTGTCCACTGAACCTTGATGTCGACGCCCTTTGCTTCACCTTTAGGGCAGAAACGATAAATTTAGTAACATAATCTAATAAATTACAAGAACATCATGATGAACTTATTACTAGTCGGGGCTTCTTGCCTATACCGAAGCCTAGCATGCGCTCGAGTGCCCTTACTATCGAGCTCACAAAAGTGCGACACATGGGGTTTTTTACAGATTTTCCACTTACCACCAATTTTGGTGGGAAACTGAATTCCCCCTGGTATGAAATGTGAAATCGATGCCGTAGATCGAGCGCGAATCTTCTTTTCTGGCAAGTAAATATTATTTCGGTTCGTTAGACGAAAATTTCATAGTCAGCCTACTGGCTTCGGGTCACGAGGGATAAGATGCATACGCAATAACAACCAAAAAACTGATGAAAAATGTTTGTGCTGTAACTTTAGAAATGGAAGCACCGGAAAGAAGAGCTTTGGATGTCAAAACATGGTTTTCACAGGGAGAATACCCTTCCTGAGGCGAGTAATTTTGTGATGGGAAAAATTTGAAAGCCATCTGGGAAGTGCAACTAAACTTGGATAACAAATAGCTATTCTAATACGGCCCACAAAGGGAAAACATGTGCCGCTCTTAAGTTGATTAGCCAGCTTGGAGTTGTTTTCATGGTTTCGCTTGACATTTACTTCTTCGTCTCTACTCCGAGTACTAATTACGAACTAACTAGCCCAGTCAAGAAGCATTCAATCGCTCGAGACGGAACATCTCTCTAATGTCAACTGCTAAGGACAACAGTTAAAGCAGAAAACATCCAAATGTGAGCTACTGAACAAGTCAGTATAAGTGGAGAGTGACATTGAACTACACGCCTTTTTCGGAGGTCAAGTTGAGACACGAACGAATTCAGCATCCTTGAGACATTTGTGGGACACGGAGCGATGCCGATCAGCAAGAAGCATCACCGCTAATACCTTCTTTCGACATGACGATGAAAAGATCTTACATGGCAAGGAAGGATAAGGCTGATCCAACCCAGAATGTTCGAGCAGCCCCCCNCATTGCTCCTTCTGCCTGGTGGTGGTTCTTCGGCTTATCTCGCGACCTTGACGTGAAAAATTTCAAAGCCTAGGCCCACATCAGGATGTGAGTCCACCCTACTCTACGGAACAGAAGCCCTAGGTAGAATGGTATGAATAATTTAACATACTGGCCAAAAGTTATTAAAAGCAAGGGTTCAGGGTTGAAAAGCTTCACTTGAAAGGGTGTTCGTGAACCCAGCGCAAAACAATAAACTCCGAGAGGTAGCATACCTTCTGAACAAGCTTCAAACTCTTGCAAAGTGTTTCTGGGAATAGGTTGAATGCGCAAAGCGACCAAGAAATCTTATATTTAATTCCAACGATCAAAGAAGGCGCTCAGAAGAGGAGCGAAATCAGAACGACACCCGGAAGAATAAGTCACCGATTATTTCGAATTCCAGAACTTTCCCATAGCAATATCGGCAAAGAATGGCAAGGAGAAAAACGCGCTGAAGAGGGAGTGAAGGAGAGGGTGGGAAGGGCGCGATGTCCAAGTACGAGCTTTTCAGGATGTACTTTTGAACAATAATGGAAAAGAGGCGGTAAACAACAAAACAGCGGTTCAAGAGTTCATTAAGTATGCTGAAAAATTACATGGCAGCAGGCACAGCACAAGTTCATCGATGCCCGATTTCCCTAATTCACTTTAGTCCGGGACGCTGTTTGTCATGAACATCGTTCCGGCTGAACATTGCTGCAATAATTTGAACACTGTAATTACTGCATACAAAAAAGGTTCTGGGACATAAATGAATTATGAAATGAAAGTGTCCTAGATAAGGACAGAAATGTCGGCACTGAAAAAGATGTTTGCAATTAGTTAGACAGTAGGGTTGTTAGGTTGACAGATACTGAGTAGAAGCCTAAATGTACAACTCAAGCGAGTAGCTATCGGAGGGTAATCCTTCCATCCTTCCTTCCAGAGCCCTTTCAACTAGATGGAAAGAGTTCAATGAATATTCACAGCACTGCACGATTTCAGATAGTGATGTTGGAATGTTAGTGTAAAAGATCCATTCAGAGAAGGAGTCCTGGGAATAACCATTTGAATAAACGGCTGGCATTAGCCTCTGTGTCTTCGGTAGTTCCAAATGATTTCACATCCATCGCTCTTCTAAGAACCTCCAATCGGTGGGTTTGAAGACGATTACAAGTTGCAGTAGTTATTATGTACGATTAAAGGCACAGTTCACGATAATTTTGGGTCATGACGAAAAAATGGAAGATAATGCGGAAAATAGTGCGATGAAGGCGGAGAAAGTGCGTAAATCGGTGTTTCCAAAGTGATAAAAAACTTCGAAAAAATCGTCAAAAAGGGGACAAGAAGGAGATAAGAAATAAAGAAGGAGGTGCGTTCGAACTATGAGCTATCCAATGTGAGTTATTGCGTAGGTGTGGGTCCTGGTGTGAGTAGCTGGCTACAGTAAGCAAAAATGTCCTTTAAAATTCATTCACTCATAAGCACAAGTCAACAAAAACGCCAG